TTAAACTTTTAACATTACATGTTGGTATATTAAAGGTGCTAAAGTCAGCCATTTTGTTGATTTAACATCAATTCAGTGCCGTGCGTCCCAGAATTTAGGTAGTCCCTGAAAAAATATAAAAGATCCATCCTTTTTTGCTAAGTAAATATTTATATTAGACAGAATATAATAAAAATATATCAAAATATTGCTAATGGTTTAGGATCATTTTTCTGTTTTTCTTGAGCCAACTAAGATTGCCTGACTTTTCTTTATGCTAGGCTGTTAAAATTTAGAACACTTATCAATGAATGTTTATGCATATTAAAATTATAAAAATATGTCTAGCAATATGTTTTCAAACATAACATGCTTTTAAACATATTTTTTTAATTTTTTGCTTAAATTTGTGTTTACACTTTAAAGCAATGACAAAACTTTATGGGTTAAGTTCTTAAGCTATTATCTATTTATTTATTTTATAAATTTGAATTTCATTAAAATGACTGTTTGGGGGAGACAAGTTTAGAAGTAATAAATAAACAAAGTTATGCTGAATTTTTTTATATGTACAGTCAGACTAAGATCAGATAAGTTAATAAATCTTTTTTTATCTAGTGAATCTATTTGTCAATAAATATAATTTTATTTGTTTGTAATAAATTATTATTAGTTAGTCAATTTTTGTGTTTATAACTATGTTTTTAAGTGAAAGGGAAATTTTAAAAGGATGGAAAACAATTAGGAAGATAAATGTAACTTTCCTTTTGTGATTAATTTCCGAGTGAATAATTTCCATTTTCCATTTTAATGAAAGTATTTAGATTAAGAAGAGATTTAGTTAATGAACTTTTTTTTGCCAACTGATTTTAGTTTGCCTCAAGCTCCACAAAAAAATACACACAAAAAAAACAGCAGATGCAGATGATTTTTTTATATTAAATAGTAATCAGGAGCTAAGTAGTCAAGTTGACCAATTAACTCATGTGGAGCAAATAGATAAATTTAAATTGTAGGTGTTACATTTGGAAATTGAAATTAAGGATTTAATTTCTAAAAACAAGTTTTTAATTTCTAAATTATTTTGCTGATTTAAGTATAGTAAACTTGATTCTACATGAGTTGATAGACAATTAGTTGTAATAAACCTTATTCTAAGTTAAATAGTACAACTTGATGATCTAAATTTGCTTTTATATCCCTTCAACTGTTAGCTGGTTCAGATTTTGAAAGTGATTTTTTTATGTTGTTTTGTGATGTTCTGTTTTGTGAAAAGTCAATATTTTCTTGTGTTGCAAATAAATAAGGCTTTGTTATGCAGTTAAGTGCTTCTGATGCTGTAGCACCTCAGAATCAATTAATGATGACGACAGCTGAATTCACAAGGCTAAGACATAGTTTGTGTAATCAAAATAATTTAGATTTTGTTGTGCAGTTAAGTGTTTCTGTTGTTGTAGAGCTTCAGAGTCAATTAATGATGCCCACAGCTAATTTCAGAAGGCTAAGACGTTATTTGTGTAATCTTGGTGCAAATATTCTCCCATCTGAGCCTAAGATAAGAATAAGAAATGCGGACAATGCATGTTGGTAAAGAACATGTTTCTGTCAAGTCCATGATGCTTTATCCATCTGTGAATGAAACACCTTGTTCAGTCCTTGTATTAAAGAAGAAGTTTTTGATAATCTTAGAATTCGGGATCATCTCAACTCTGATGTTAGTTTTGATGAAGAGGTATGGCTCCTTTTTGCTGGGGATAAGGGTGGCAAATATATGAAGTTCCATTTTGAAGTTGTTAATATTAAATCATCTGGATCTGTGTATGATATTCATTTATTTTGTATGTATCAAGGTTCAGATTGTCTTGAGAATTTTATTATTTTTTCTTAAAATAGTTGTAAGGTATTTGTAAAAATAGAAATCAAAACAGTTTTACTTAGTTTATAAATCCAAATTGTAATAAAAAACTTTATTTTTGATTTATCAAAAACTATGACAGTTACCTGAACAAAAACAAATTTAAAAATTTTTAAAAAAACAGTTTGAACAATAGCAAAAATATTTGAAATCATTTAGACATTCAGTTTTTTTTAAAGGCTGCCATGAAACAGCTGTTTCAAATAAGAACGAAAGTCAAAATAAACACAACATTAAAAAGGATCTTTTATTGCCTATAAAAGAAAAAAAGCACAGCTTTAAAGTTTAAGGAAACTGAATTCAATTCTATGAGCAGTGAAGTTATTAGAAAAATTAAACTACGATAAGGCTAGCTTAATTTTTACATGCGAAAGGCATTGTGGGATGTCCTGGTAGTATACAAAAAAATTCACAACAACAAACTTGGTAAAAAAATGTAAAAAACAAGAAACCTGTGCAAGCATTAGGTGTTTAATTATAAAATACAACTGTAATACTGATTGGGCGCAGTGTGTTATTTGCCTTGGGTAGTTTCATCAATACTGTAAAATTATTGGTAATTCTGAAAAGAGTGTAATGTGTGATACAAAGAGCTATAAGTGTTTAGGATGTCAGGTTGAAAATATAGAAAGTCTTAATATTTATACTGAGATAAATGCATTTATAAAAGTGCAATATGAAGTTTTAGAAGTTGAACATAATCGATTGACGATAGAGTGTGAAGATCATGAAAAAAAAATACAAAACTAACATAGGGCCTCGTGAGAGGGCTCTACTTTAAGCTATTGATGTTATCAAGTTTGAGCCACAAGTTTGCCATGATAATGCATTTGTATGTATTTATTGCAAGTTAGTCTTAAGAAACTACTTTGTATTGTAATTGATGATTTAGTGACTAAGAATAGGTTTTTATGTGTGTTTAGTATTTTTAATAAGGTCCAGCCAATTATTTTTAAGAGAAAACTTTTTTCTGATGTTGAAATAGTTTTAATAAGCTTTTTAGTTATATAAATTTGTTTGCTAATGAGTTTCATCATCGCTTTCCATGTGAAAGTATCACTCAAAATATGAGAATTATTTTTAGTAGATGGCACAAGAGACGCCAGCTCTTTAGAGCAGTGCCCATTATAGTATTTATAGAAAAGAGATTAAGAAGCAACATTACAACGATGTTATAATGGTTAAAGGTTGGCTGCAAGAGCAGTTCCAACTATTTTACAGAACAAAATTTTTAAAGTTACAAAAGTTTTAGTGACACCCACATAGTAAAACTTTTTAAAAAAATAAGTAGCCATATGTCCGCCTTGAAACATACGTGACCTGTGGTTTAGATACTATCTATAAATTCTTACAAATGGATACTAAAGCTACAGATTGGAACATAAGGAAGTTATTGTCTTCAATATACCAAATATTTCATGTCAATTAAGAGTCAATTAAGAGCAATTGATTATAAAAGAATAGCTACAAGTTCAGATTTCCATTACATGTTTTGTGGTTCTCTGTAGGCTGAAAAAAAAAGTGTTGTCAAGAGAGGAATACATGTTTGGTCAAAATCAGTCTTTGTTGTTGACTATAGAAGTTTTTGCCAAAGAGTAAGGAACTTGGATGTGGTATATCACAGCAAAACACCAGCTTTGAACATTTAAATGCTCAAACAAATGTAGTTTGTTTCTTTTTAAGTTGAAGTTTTTTGAAAAAATTAGTTCCAGTTTAAATACATTCCTAAGTACATAATATTTGGTCCTGATGCAATTGTATTGCTCTTTATTTAAAGTATTTTTTGTTTTATTACGAAAGTATAGAAATGTTCTGAGATAAAATTTTATTAAAAAAAAGGCAAATGTTGATCTTTCTAATTTTTATTTTATTTTATTTTCAAATTGATTAGTCAATGACTTATTTATAGGTTCTTTCTTGTGCTGAAACTTGAACAACTACAACACAACTTCTTTGCAAAGTTTATTCGATTATATTGTCGGTATACAAGTCCATTTTTGTCAGTATGGAGTTATTTATACCGATATTTAGTATTTTAAATTCTCTATTGTTAGATATACCACAGAAATTTAATAAATCAATTTTTAATGAGTTAATAAGATTTTTTATTTCAATTATTACACAAAAACTTATTTGTTCATTATCTTAAAATGATGTTTTTAGACTTTTTTGCATTTCCTTTTTAAACTGACAATATGTTCTTGCAAACACCAAAACTACAAGTTCTTTATTAAAAATAGATTCATCTAATTGTGCAAACCGGCTTTCAACCAGTAAGATTTATGTTGGCTTTTCATAGAAGTATGATTTCTAGTAATTTAAGAGTAAGGGAAAGTTAAAAAGGGAAATATGTGGTTTCCTCGTCTCTATGTGTACTCATATGATTTTACCATTTATTTTCACTGGTTGCTCGCTGTCTGATGCATGTTTCCCCATCATTTTTGGTCAAATTTTTAGATAAATGTGAATATTTATTTGACAACTGTCGGTAAAGCTTGTTATTTAAAAGAAAGTTAGAGCTTCTATTGGCGATCTACCTAAGAAAGAATATTCTAGATTATGTAAAACTGCTGTTGTTGATAACAAAGGCATTTTTGACTTTTGATATAAATATGTATTGTATCAGCTATTTTTTGTAGAATTACACTTTAAAGATATATTTAAATCTATAGCACATTTTTAAAATTGTCCTCATTTTATTGCATAGACAAGCTTATTTTTGAATGAGAATTTAGCAGCAACAAATTTCTGATCAATGACAACATGTCCACAGACATCATCGTCTCTTTATTTTTTATCCAAAATTACTTCAAGTTTCATTGGTTAATGGCACATGAAGTTAAAATAACATTAAGTTATTTTAACTTCATTTGCAGTTATCTATTAAATAAGTATTTTAAAGATAACAGCAAACTATTAAGAACAAAGTATTTTGATTATCATTGATCATAAGCACTGATTGGAAAAATCAATACTGAAATTCCTCAAACATTATGTGTGATTGAGAATTTAAAAAATTAAAGAAAATAAAGTTGCATGGCCTGGTTGTTTTGACATACTTTTATATAAAATTTATAAAAGTATGTTTTTATATGATTTTATTTAGGTGTGGTTGTTCTTACTAAAAGTATCTTAGTAGACATTTGTGATGACACAAATATATCTTTGGCTTTTTCATTTTTGTTTTCTGGCTATCACCTTGGTCAAGTTATTGGACCAAGTCTATCAGGTAAAAAGTATTTGTTTAATTTGTATGAATAGAGTTTTTTTTTTTTTTTTTTTTAACTTTATCTTAATTTATTCAACAGAATTGGAACACATAAAGCATAAAAAAGATAACTAAAATTTAAAAACATAATTTTTTCAAGTAATAAAACATTAAAATATTTAAATATTTTATAATATGCTCAACAGTTAAAAAAACTTGAAATTTAATGATAAAACAGATATAATTTCGAACTCCAGTTTTGCAAAATAATCTCAAAATTTAATAAATTTTAATAAGATAAGATTTAAAAAATAAACTTGGTTGAAATCCCAAAATATTATTTTATCAACTTTATCAAAATAACAAATTAAAAAACACTTAACATTAAACACTTAACATTAAACATTTATTATTAAATACTTAACATAAAGAAATTAATAATATTTCTTTGCCTTAAAATTTCATTAATTTTTTAATATAAATAAATAGTTTTAACAAAAATAAATATTTTTAACATAGCATAAACAAATAATTTTAATATAAATAAATAATTTTATTATAAATAATTTTGTTATAAATAAATAGTTCTATTATAAATAAATAATTCTATTATAAATAAATAATTTTATTGTATATAAATATTTTTAATATAAATAAATATTTTTTTTTTGTTTTTTTGTTTAATGCTTGATGGTTATTTTTTTTTCAAACAAACTATTCAACATTAAGAAATACCATAAATAAATGTTAGCAATATACATTAAAGTTTGTAGCATAACACAATTTGCATAACAATTTATAGCATAAATCAAAAGAATTTTTATAAAAGTTTATAGCCTAAACTAACGTAATTTGCATAACAATTATAGCATAAATTGTTATTCAAACTGCTAACATTCCTCACGCTTTGAAGTATAAGGTTGAGCTTTTACCAAATTTTAAATTTACAAGTAACTTGGTAAAAAAAAAACATTGTTTACTATAAATATCCGTAAAATTGGTAAAAAATAAATAAACTCATAAAATTTTACTTTGTTTCAAAATGAAGCCTTTTCAAGATTCAGATCTAATGTAAATTTATAATTGTTGTATAGATTAAAAAAATAAGCTTTGAGGAAACAAAAGTAAATCAAGTAAGTTGTCATTCAATCTGGATTGAATTTTGATTAATTGATTTTCGTCACAAATTATCCAGCAACAGAACAGGCTCCTTCAGGCTCAATACTTGTTGGAGGGATAATCTCCAGTGCATTGAATAAAAGTTTTTATGCCAACATTTCTTTTGAAAGGAATTTGGATTCATTGTTTGAGTAGTGGTGTTGTTTTTTAGTTAAATGCTAAATTGCTTTGTTAAATCCTTGAGATCATCTTTAAATGAAAGTGGATTTTTGTTGAGTTTTTCTGAGCTGAAATGGATTTTAAGTCATCTTAATTTTTTGGGAAAAATCTAGATAGCAACTTTCAGATTTCAAATTTGGTGTTTAGATATTGTTCAAAGCAATTCTCTTTTTAGATTAAGTTCAAGCTTACAAGATTCCTCTGCCTTCTCTCTTCAAAACCTCCTTAAATTGCACTCTTCATTGCAATGCAAAAATTGGAATCTTGTTGTTTCAGTTTGTTCCCATGAAACCTGAAAGTTTTTCAGTTGTAGGAAGAGTTGCATCCTGTTGGCAAAGGGCTTCTGCTGTGAATTTGACTAGTTTAAGAGCAGAATTAGTGTTGTATAAAATATTTACTTTGTCATCGCTGCAAATTAAATGTGGAGAAATATCTTTAATTTCTTTTCTGATTGAATCCTTAACTTTAAGAATCAAGGGTAAGGGAAACCTATTTTCAGTGCTGTTTCTCGGTTTCTTCTTAGAGGACATCATATTTGACTGGAGATTTTCAAAGTAACTTGATGAACTTTCTGACTGTAGTGATAGTAGATTGCAGGTACCCTTTCACTTTTAGATTAAGGATGTTTTTATCCATGGCTGCAATAGGAAAACTGACTTCAGTGACTGATTTAGATTTGTCACTGCTGACTTCATCTTTTTTGCTTGTTACTTGCAATTTGTTATTATCAACTATTTGGGAAGGCTCTCCAATGTTCACTAAAAATTTTAGTGTTTTTAAGATCAATTTTCATACCAGCTGCAAACTATTTAACTGAGATCACAGATCCAATGAAAAAGCTGTTAAAATTGACATGGTTTTTAATTCCATCCAGTGCTGTAAGTATTAAAATCACTTCTTCAATAAGTTGCTTTGAAAAAAGTTAAAATAATAACAAAATTTTAAAAATTAAAAAAAAAAATACTCTGTTATATTTGGCTAAAAATTACAGGTTGTTTTTACAGAAAAATATTATTCACAAAGGTAGCCAAATAAAGAAAACTTATTTTATTATATAGGATTTCAAATAAATTGTTTAATTTATAGTATAGTAAAATATATAGTATAATATAGTAAAATAATAGTATAGTATAGTAAAAATTGTTATTCACCAAAGTTTACTGAAACAATTTTACTGGTAAATGGGTAAAACAATTTTACCAGTTTACTTGTAAATTTTTGGTTAAAGCTCAACCCAAATAGAAAATTCTTATTTGGAACACTCTCCGATCTTCATGTTTGCCTGACTCATACAACCCTTCAGCTTTTCAAGTCTTCTGTAAATTATTTGCTCTTTATAACAATATTTATTGTTTTCTAGTCCAGACTTTATAGTGGGATAGCTTGCAAAATTTTAATTAAAATAATTTTTGTTTGAAAAATTATTACCTTTAGTGTTGTATAATAGTTATTTTACTTTTTTTTGAAAAACAAGCATACAACTTTTGGAAGTAAAATTTGCTATTAGTGAGCTTAATATATATCTTCGTATAACATTTTATGCCGATCATATATAAAATATAATTAATAAATAAAATGTTTAACTTTTCCAAAGTTAAACATTTTATTTATTAATTATTTTTTAAAAGCTATTTTTCCAAAAAAAAGTTATAGTTTAATGGTATTATATTTCACTTGTAGGTCGACACTTGACAAATGTTACATATTAGGTCGTACTTATTTTGAGAAAAATTTATAGCAATATGCTTGCTTGTCCCACTAATTGTCTGTTTATTAGCATGTCAAAAAAGTTTTGCACAATTTTTTTCTCTGGTGAAGTTTTTATATGTACGCAAGTAGGCACTAAATTTTAAAATATCACTTTGTTTCTGCTTGACATCAGTAAAACCAGTCAGTCAAAATTTCAAGTTGCTAATATGTTTAAAACTCTATTACAACCTAAGTCTCTATCATCTAAACAGAAACTATACCAGTACCACCACCATCAGCACCAGTAACTATATTATCTCAGCCATTGCTTTACAAATTGACTCACATAGTTACCACAGTGCATCATTTTCCGTGGCTGTATTATCACAGTTATACGAGCTAGCTTGCTAGCTAATAATGAACTTACGGTTCATATCTGTACAGTGTAACTTTAATTGTATTTGCAATTAATATAAAAAATACAATTTTTTACTAAACCTATACAATAACATTTTTCCTTAGCATACATTGTAAAGCATCAGCTCCACAGTCTTCTGCAATTAACCTTTAATATTGTAGTAACTTTAACTATTTAAAGTGATCCTCAGAAAATAAATTTAAAAGTTGAACTTTTCAAAATAAATTATTTATCAAGATGTTAACAAAAGCTTTATTATTTTTAACGCCACTTTGTTTCTTGCAAAGGGAAGTTTCTGCTATTTGAAATTTTTTTTTTAAATATCTGGACTGAGCAGAGACAAGTTGTGTTCATCTTTTAAAATCATCTTAGGAAATAAATGTTAGAGTTAATCATTAAGAGTTAATAAAAATTTATGAGTTAAAAAAGAACTATACTTTCCAATACAAAGTATTTATCAAGTTAACACCATTTTGTTCCTTGTGAAGAAAAGTTTCTGCTCTTTGATCAATACTTTTTTTTAAATATAACTGATTGTTGCATTTTTTTTTAGTGAATATTTTATTTTTTATAGTAAATATTTTTATTTATTTTTTGAATATAAATGACAAATGATACGTCATATAAATTACAAATGATAATAATATGTCATATAAATGACAAATAATTTTTTTTAAGTTTCTTAGTTTGCTATTTTTATGTTTAACTACACCTCAAAATTTTCTTTAACTTAAAAAAAAAAAACTTAAAAAATCTTTTTCTTGTTAAAAACACTATTTAAAAACTTAATGATTTCATTTGATCACCATTTACATTGTTTTACATACTTTTCAATTTGTTATAAAAAAAAAAAAAGATATATATATATATATATATATATATATATATATATATATATATATATATATATATATATATATATATATATATAACTTGAAAGCTATTAACTTGTAACTATTGTTATTATTTTTAAAAAATTTGAAAACTTAAACAAAAAAAAATTAAACAAGATAATTTACTTTTTATTTTTTTTAAACTATTTTTTTAGCTGTGTTAGTTTTTCTTGGTGATCGATATCCTAAGACTTTTAATAAAGGTAACATTCATTTATTTTTAGTTAAATAAGTTTTAAATAAGGCAATTTCTTTATTTTCATAGTAAATTGTTAATTGTAAATTAATAATTTGTGCAAATATTTAAAAACTAGTTAAAATATTAAACTTTTGTTTTAAAGAATCTTGGCTTAGAGTGTCCCGTTTCCGCCTTTTTTTTTAATTTTCAGTCTTAGAAAATTCATTTAAGAACTTTTAAAATGTTATTTTTTATAAGTTAAGTTATTAAAAAAAAGTTATTAAAAAAAACTGGACTGAAAGAAAAATATTTAAGGGTTGCACAGGGCAGAAATAATATGTTACTAATGTACAAAATTACCTAAAACAATGGTAAAAAGAACTATATGTTATTTAAGTTCTTCTTTTTTCTAATGAGAGAAACTCAATTCAATTTGCAATGATTCTCAACAATATGAAGTATGTATTGTAACTGCTTTGGATCTTTGACTTGTTTTTAAAGTCTTAGATCAGCTTGACTCCTCGTTCAGCGCAGTCATTACCCACTTCTAAAAATTCTAATGCTTTTTTAACATAGTTAAAGTCCTTCATTATTGTCTAATGTTCAACAGGTAGTTGCAACCAATCCACTTGATTAGGTTTCATTTTGAGTAAATCAAACATGTTCAATTACAGGAACAGACTAATCAAATAAGATAAACACAACAAACTGCTGTTTGGTTAAATACTAAAGAGGCCTGTAACACCACTGAAGGGCGGCATCCGCTGCTGTACTGTCAAAATCATGATACCACTGCATGTCAGTGATGTACTGCCAATCAACATGTGGTGCGATAATGGAAGTTCGACTTTTTTTTGGAACAGTACAATGAAATCAGCCATTCTCTTAAGCTTATAGCGTTGGTCCTGGTTGACCCAGTTAATTTTTTTGTCTAACATTACATACTTAAAGATGTATAGTTAGTTGTGCATGAATCTCGTACGATGATAAGCACCAGGTTTCTTGAACCAAAATCTTTTCATTTTGTAATTCTTCGTCAAGATAAACAATTACCAGTTCAATAAGTTCCCAATAATCTTCTTGGTGTTACTAGTTTGTGTCGAAGCAAAAAGCAATCAAATCATCAAGTAGCTTCCATGATTTTAAATGGTTGATAAATTGATCTTTTTGGGCTACACCAGTAGCACTTGGGGTTGTAGGCATCCCAAGTACTTTGGGATTTGAATCTTCAGCCTAACTTTTCCATCCAATTGCAAGGATGGCAACATGTTCTTCTTTCTTTCCTGCAAGAAAAGTTGAAATTACCTGTCTTCTTAGAGCATCTTTTTCTTATTTTTCTATGGGAAATTCTATGGGATATTCTATGGGAAACTCTGTGGGATATTCTATGGGAAACTCTATGGGAAATTCTATGGGAAATTCTTCTTAGGTTTGGGATTTTTCCCAGGGAAATTCTATGGGCAATTTAAAAGCAATTAAAATAGAATTTTAATTGCTTTCAAATAATTTTTTATGAAAATGTTGATTTTTAAAAGTTGGCAAAATGACCTGCGCCACCCCTAAATATTTTTCTTTCTGTTTAGTTTTTTTACCTTACTTTAATGAAAAATAGCATGCTCGAAGTTCTTGAATGAATTTTCAAAAACTGTGAAATCTTGAAAAATTTTTAATAATAGGCAGGAAAACTATAATTAACTCAAATTAGGTAACTGTGCTACCCCTAAATAATGTTTGATTGTCCTAAAATTTTATAATAATTATTTTTTCATCATTATACACCTCACATAAAAAGTTTCTCAAAATTAAACTCAAAATAAAAAAAAAAGGCGGAAACGAGACGCTGTAATATTGGCTATCATTTTTTTTTTTTTATAATTCTTTTAATTTTATTTTAGAATCATTTTTTGCTGAGTATGCAATATTTTTACCTAACCTTCTTATTACCATTGGTTTTGTGTTTGGAATAGTTTGGGGATATTTTACTATTCCTTCAGATAATCAGTAAATAGTTTTTTTTTTTCACTTTTAGTATATTATTTCTGCAATTATTATTTCTATAATTATTGTATATGTTTATTGTTTGTTTTTTTTCTTTAGAATTTTTAAACCTGAGAAGATTTGTTTAATAAATGATGATGCGTACAATGATACAAAAACTTGTCAAGATTATTTTATGAATCTTTCTCTAGATCCTAGTAACAACAATAATGATAATTCTAATAGCAACAATAATAACATGTCAGAAAAATCTCCATTACTTGTTAAATGCAAAAAATCTTTATTTAGGAGATTTATTTATAGGCTAAAGTATTCAGCCATTGGTAGGATATTAAGGTTAGTGATATCAAATGTTTTTTTAAGTTATTTAATATATAAAAAAAAATAGTAATAACTTAGGTATTTATTAAAAACATTAACATTAAATATAAAAAAAAATGCAAAAAACTAAGCAACAGTAAAAAAGTTACTTTTAAATTAATGTTATGTTTAACTATATAAAAGTAAATATTTTTAATGTTGATATCTTTATTAAAGTTTATAGTTATTAAATTGTTTTTAATGTTATAAGTCTTAGTAAAGTAATTTAATTTTTTTAATTATTGTATATATATAATATAATATTGCATATAATTATATTATATATAATATAAACCTGTTTCATCTCTTGCTGCCTTGTAGGATTTTAGGCTTTTTTAGGCAAGGGCTAGGAGATGCCAACTCTGTCTCACCCCCTTACCCTTGCCAGGAGTATAAAGATTTTAATTGTTGTCCAGCCTAATATTCCTTCTTTGTTTGCAGTTTAGGGTATTGAGTTCTAGATCTTCTTGACTCATTGCATGGTTTTTGCTTGTGTCTCTGTTTTTATGACTAGGCATTCTATTATCTCCTAATGAGAGTACAGCTCTAAAACTCAGTTTTATGGTACTAATGCTAGCTTGTAGTCAGGTTTCCTGAACTCTGTGGTAGCTCTCAGAGAGGCTGATTCCATCAATAGCTGTAAAATATCAGAGTGCCATGTTACACATGGATGGTGCTCCTGATTATGCTTTTGTTGTGCATTGTTAAGGCCACATTTTTATCTCTTTTTTGCAGCTTAGAGTTGATTATTAATAATGAGGTAATTGCTTGGACTGCTAGATAGTGTACTGAGTACTATCTGTGCTTTGAATCAAGTTCTTTAACAAATTTACAAAATGACTATTGTATCAA